CAGACTTCTCCAATGAAACACTATCGGCAAGAAGAGAGTGGAGGGACATACTCAATGAACTCCAAAGCATTAAATGCCAACCAAGAATACTCTATCCTGCAAAGCTCTCCTTCCTCTATGAAGAATAAGGACATTCTCAGACAAACAGAAACTCCACAACTTCGTCATGACTAAACCCCACTCCAAAAAATACTACAAGAAACTCTCAAACCAAATCCAACAGAAGAATGAACAAGAACAGTTCAAAACAAGGAATAAAAATACAAAAGACCAAAATGGCAAATGTAGGTGCCAGTATATCAATATTATCTCTAAATGCAAATGGCTTAAACTCATCAATCAGAAGACACAGAGTTGCAGGATGGATTAAAAACAGAACCCAACATTCTGCTGTCTGCAGGAAACACATCTAACTACAAAAGATAAAAATAGATTGAAAATAAAAGGATAAAACACAAGCAAATGGACCAAAAAAGAAGGCAGGAACAGCTATACCTATATCAGATAAAATAGACTTCAAGCTAAAAAAGGTTAAAAAAGACACAGAAGGCCACTTCGTTATGATTAAGGGGACAATACAAGAAGAAGATATAACAATCATCAACATATATGCACCAAATGAAGGAGCATCAAAATATATCAGGAAACTATTATCATCTTTGAAAACATATATCAGAGAGAACACATACATAGTAGGAGACTTCAACATGCCACTCTCAACAATAGAGAGATCAACAAGACAAAAAATAAGTAAAGACATTAAAGCTCTGAACAAGGACCTGGACATCATGGGTCTAACAGACATCTATAGGATACTGCACCCCAGAAAAACTGAGTACACATTTTTCTCAAATCCACATGGATCATTGTCTAGGATTGACCACATATTGGGTCACAAGATAAATATCAATAAATACACTAAGATCAAAATCATACCAACTGTTTTCTCTGACCATCAAGGAATCAAACTAGAAATAAACCATATGGAGAAGGCAAGAAACCCACCTACCCCGTGGAGACTGAAACCCACACTACTAGAGGACCAATGGATCAAGTAGGAGATCTAAGAAGAAATTTAAAAATACCTGGAGAAGAACGACAACGAAGACACAGTCTCCAAAACTTATGGGACACATTAAAAGCAGTTTAAAGAGGAAAATATATAGCATTATAGGCTCACATAAAGAAACAAGAAATAACTCAAAGAAACAACCTAATCTTCCACCTTAAAGAACTGGAAAAAGCACAGCAAAATAACCCAAAAGCCAGTAGAGGACAAGAAATAATAAAAGTCAAATCAGAAATAAGTGAAATGGAAGTTTGGAAAACAGTCCAAAAAAATCAATGAAACTAAAAGTTGGTTCATGGATCCAAGGCACCCAGCCTCAACCCACCATCTGTGGATGTGCCCTCCATACCAGCCCCAGTGAGTGTGGCTTCTGTCAAACTGAAACAGTATTAAACAGAGTTAGACAGATCTCAAACAGTGTTTAATCTGTGCCAAGGGGCTAAAATAGAGTGAAAGGACAGAAACAGGTCATTGGCAGTGGTTTTTACCCATGTGCAAGAGCTCTCAAGCTCAAGGTGCTTCAACAACAACAGCATTTATTTAACAAACAGTTGATTTGGGAGAAAGGAGAGAATTTATTTTTATTTTCTGCCTTTAGTGGTAGTTAAAACTAGTAGGTAAAATCCACTGGGGTTCTAGGTCTTAATTTGTGTACATTTTTACAAAACATATATTATTATTTTTTACATCATTCTTAATTTTGTACATTTTTTCATTTTGGTTGTAATCCCTGTGGCAGCCAGCTGTCTCAGCCCAAATTTTGTCTAGAAATCTCAAACAAAGGCCGCTCCTGGAAGATGAGGTGAAGATAAGATGACACAGCCGCAGCCCACAACAGCAATTGATGACTGGGTTGGATGCAGACCAGACAGAGAGGAACCCAACAGCACCAGGAGATGGTGCCGGAGAACCACAGGCATACCAGCTCTCTCAGATGTTTGGCCAAGCCTGACAGTGCTCCTTGTGGGCCATGTCAGAGGTAAGGTTGGAGGCAGGTGTAGCAGCCCAGTCTCTGTGCAATCTATGGAGATCTGAGGTCTGGAAGTCCATGGAGGTTCTCTGAATTCCATGGACATACTTGATGTTCTTCTTTCTCTAGAGGTTGTCTGCCAACCTTCTTCAAAGGTGGTCTAATGAATGCTATCTTTTTGAAGGCCATGAGCAGAATGAATAAAGCTGTCTCTTGTTCTGCTTTATATCCCTCGTGGTGTTCTATTCCACAAGTCTGATTAGACATTTTTTTCAATCCTAAGTGTTTTGATTAGGCTGTTTAACAGCTAACAGATTGTTTTCCATTTTTTAAATATGAATAACTAATTACTTAATTGAGCTTGCACCTGACTGGTCCATTTTAGAATAAGAGTCAGGTATAAAAGGGGGGAATGTCCAGACTGTCCCAGTTAGCTCAGCACAGGCTTGTGGGCCAGTTGGCTCCAGGGAGCCAGAGCTGGAGCCAATGTTGCTAAGGCTGGGTAAGAGGGACTATCAACAGGTGGTGGGCTGAGGCCAGCTTACATCAGCCACAACAAAGACTTTTTGTCCTGTGGTCTCTGGGGACTGTGGGGATACAGTTACAATAGCACCAGAAATATATATATATATATAAACCAATATCCCTGATGAACATTGATGCAAAATCTTCAACAAAATAGTAGCATATCAAATTCAACAATATACCAAAAACATTATACATCACCATTAAGTGGGATTGATCCTAAAGGATGGCTTTATAAATGTATCATACTAACAAAAGAAAGATAGAAATCATATGATAATATCAATATGTACAGAGAGAACATGTGATAAGATTCCATATTGTTTATGGTAAAACTCTAATCAAGATGGGAACAGAAGGAACCTACCTCAACATAATACAGATGATATATTATAAATCCAAATTCAACAAAGTAATCAATGGTGAAAAAGTAGAAGCTTTCTCCTAAGATCAGGAAAAGACAATAATATGCAATGTCACTACTTCTCTTTAACTTAGTATTAGAGGTTTTGTACAAAGGTATCAGACAAAAATAGGAATTAAAGAGAATCTATATCAGAGAAGAAAAGTGAAATGATTACTATTTGTAGATGATATATATAGAAAACCCTAAGTATTTCACAAAAAAGCAATTTCTACCTATTACTAAAATAATAAATACATGAATGTGGCATATACAAAAACAATATACAAAAAAATGTAGCTTTTTTGTATGCAAACAATGAGAAGCAAAGGGAATAAAACAATTTTGAGTCTTTTTTTTTATTTTCTTAAGTGCTTTAATGGGAATTACAAACTTGCTGATGTCTGTCAGCCTCCTCTAAATCTGCTATACTCATTTGCGGGGGACTGAAAATTATATTCTGTTCATGAAGTTCTAACCTACAATCACTCTGAATGTCAAGTTACAATTTAAATCTCTGAGGTTCTAAATTGAATATGAAATTTCTTGTATGGCTCCAACTTCATGCAAATGTTTCCATTATTTTTCTCAGAAAGCAGAGGCCTAATCCTACTGTAAGCAAGTAGCCCTGTCATTAGTGGAGTCTCTAGAGTTGTTACAAAATTCATCCAAAGTTTCTTCTGACCTAGGATTTCTAAAGGGAGAGTTTAAGGCTGCATCTAACACTGTCTTAATTGTGGGTTGAACAATTTTTCATCAAACAAAGCATTCTTTCTCCATAAAGGTAAGTACTGGCACTTGGCTGTCCTTGGACATAGACAGGGAGATAAAAAAGTGCTATCTATGGCTTATTGAGTCACTTAAAATAAATGCCTCCTCTGAACAGTAGGGCAGATACACAAAGTTAGTAGGCAGGCAGCCAAAGGGCCAGCTAATTGAGAAACAAGGAAGACAGGGTGCCTCACAGAATTTTGTAAGGAGTTAAAATTAAGTGAACACACAGACACTGTAGGTTCTAGTTCTGCTTTTACTCTCTTATAAATGTAAATTCAAAGAAGCTGATTAATATTTTTTAACAGTTTATTTTTACATCATTTTGTACATTTTTTTTTTCATCTCAATTGTAATCCCTGCGGGTTTCCCATCACCAAGTCACCCATGTTCCATCACCATAGTCCCGTGCACTTCCCTCTCAACCCCCCCCCCGTTTTTGATGCCATTCCCCGCTCCACCCCCACAAAATGTCTCTGGTATATGGATGTTCATTATTCTTATTATTTTCTCGCCTGGTCCATTATACTCCTGCTATGAGCGAAACCATCCGGTATTTTTCTTTCTCCTTCTGGCTTATCTCACTAAGCATGATCTTTTCCAGCTCCATCCAAGTTGCTGCAAAAGACATGTGTTTCTGTTTTTTGGTTGCTGAGTAATATTCCATTGTATATATGTACCACATCTTTTTAATCCAGTCATCTACTTTTGGGCATTTGGGCTGCTTCCATGTTTTTCCAATTGTAAATAAAAGCTGCTTAATATTTTTTAAGCCCCAGGTTTTTCACAGTAAAACATGGGTAAAATCTTGCCCCCTACCTTAGCGATTTGTAAGAGGTTAAGTCAGTTGGGGTAAACTCAAAGTTTTATTAGAATTTCTAGAGGCTCTACAATGATTAATTATAAACTACATTTGTAAATCTCTGTAAATCCCCAAGAGATACACATAGTTTACATGTCTAGAGCAAATTGGATGGATAAAGGGCTGGTAAAGGTGCTGATCAGGAGCTCCATTCAAAACTGGTTGATAAAATATTTCACTCAACTTCTGATTTAACTAAAGATTATAACTCCCATCCTGTCTATCTTTCCAGGATTATCCAGAGGATCAAACTCAGAACAGAATAATGGAGGGGAAAGTACATGGTTATGAAAGCAAAGAGGAAGTATTTTATCAATTATATAAGTTACAAATAAAACATCTTAATACCAGGGTACAGCTCAAAGGGACAGAGAAACAGCCAGAACTTCAATCCAACTACCTGATGGTTGTGCCTTGCAAGTGGTCTATCTTCTTGTTGAGCTCAGCAATAATGCTGTGGAGCTCTGTGATGCGTTCCTCATACCGAAGTGTTGTTCGCTCCTGGACATCCTCATGTTCTCTCATGAGGTGAGATTGCTCACACTGGGATCAAGAGAAGGGAACAGGTGTTAGTGACTGGAGGCACTGTATAGGATATTTACAGTTTATGGCATCAGATTAGCATGACCTTCACACTGAGGTGCTACAAATAAACATACACCTGCTTATAGGTGGCAATCTCAGGAGACACAGAAACAGCTATTTCTGGGAAAATCTGAGTCTGTTTTTTAATGCTTATTCTCTCCGGAGAGAGGTCTCTCTGCTGTTGCACTGTCTGTGTGGATTCAACTAAGTTTTCTTTTATCCCCTGAGAAGTGGCATATGCCCCAGTAGATTTTTTCTTTTCTCTGAATTTTGACTGAATGGACCCAAGGTTTGATGGAGTCACCTCACTGGAGGGTCCTAGAAAGACAAACCCTTAGTTACTGCAGCCTGTATCTCTAGATTCTTTTCAAGCTCCTTTTCACTTATATCAATTCATTCCTTTTTTAAGTTTGCTGGGATGTGTTACATTTATTTTCCAACCAATTAATCCTAAGTGGTATGGCAGTACTTCTTATCTGACCGGTTATCTATAGACTGTCCACTCTCTACTATCCTTCCCCGTCTGACTGTAAACTCCTGGAAGGCAAGGGCCAGGTATGGCACAACTTAGAGCAAGCATGTCATATGATTCACTGAGGGTGCTCTAGAAGCGTTATGAAATGAGTAAAGCACCATTTATCAGACAAGTTTTAATCATGAAGCCAACTAAGAAGTAGCAGCTGCTATAAACACATTTTGTAGCCAGAATTAAAATCGTAAGGACACTATTCACTTCTATCATTTCTCTCCCTGCCAGGCTCCCCTGTGACTGTACATGCATTTTCATCTACATAATAATGACATGCTCATCAGCATTAGAACAAGGAGTCTATCTTATGTCACTGTCTACTTAGATTCAGTCCTGACTAATTTCCTGTCCAGCAGAGGAATTTTAATTTCATTTTCAAAAGAAGCTTCACTAATGCCAAGAGCATATGTACTTGCCAGTATTGTGCTTTTAGGGAAGTTAGCAGGAGGGCAAAGGTGAGGCTTCTCACCCATAATTTTCAAAGTCCTCCCTCTTTCCTAAAACTGCTAGACTTTCAAGTCAAAAGTTATGGACAAAGACAAAATGCCTTCAAGGAGAAGCAGAATATGACACTAAACTCAATTTAATGTAAAATAAAAGTACTTGACAAAGCCTGATAAATGCATCAGTATAAATCATGGCAGAGATCACACCTGTGAACACGACTCTCACCGCCAGCTTGATCAATATTAATGTAATACTAGGAGCTATTCGGGCACCAGAAACAAGATCAGTGGCGACAAGGTTGTTGGCATTAGCCAACGAAGAATTTCCGTAGATCGTTACTTCTAGAGAAATAGTGATACAAATTACAGTTCTCAGGGACAAGACAAAATATCAAATAACTGTCACTCAAGACCAAACACATAGTAAAAAAATAGCTCCAGAGGCAATGGTGAAAGCTCAGTAAAAGCCATGTTTACATGGAAGCTTTCCCAAAAAGAATGACACCCTAAAGGGCCACAAGTACTCATTATATGAAATTAGAATTACGTTTTTTTCCCATGACCCATCACACTTTAAAAGGAACAACAGAAGTGCACAAAATGACAGTGTCTCAGACAATTTCTGTCAATAGACAAAGAAGCGTCATATTTCTCTGGTACATTACAACAGCAAAATTATGTTCTTTTCCCTCCCTGGAGAATATCCATAAACTTTTTGTCATTACTGTCATCTTCTAATTGTGTGTGTGTTATGTACATATGAACAGAGGAATTCCTAACTAACACCTTCATGAGGCTGCTAACTGCAGATCTTAATGTAATCAGAGGACAATATCTGGTTTCTGACGCCTGCCCATACTGCCATTCCGCTGGTTCCTCCTTTTTGATTTTCTACAATAGAGTCAGCCCTCTGGGATTTTCACTCTACAAATTCAAAGAGCTCACTCTTCCCCTTAATCAGTTCCTCACTTACTCTTCCTCCTTCACAGTCTTTACATGGCAATAGTCCACTACTACTACCAAGACAGACAAGAAACTGCAAATCTTTAAAATGTAGATGCATAAGTGTTTATAGAAGAAAAAGATGCATGATCAGCTGATGAGCACTAACAGAACTCTGAGCATCCCTGTGAACTGTTGGGAGCTTCCTAAAATGTAAGATCCTTTGGGGTTTCCCAGGTTGTAGAGATAGCAGGTGCCTCATGCCAGGATCACAAGAACATGATATCTGTTACTACACCTCTGCGCCTGCCTCTAACTGGAGTCTGCCTGGAGAGAACAAATAGTGACAGGAGACAAGAGGAAGCCTAATGATTCAGTGAGATGCAACAGTGCTTGTAGCTAAAGAGAGAGAGAGAAAAAAAGCAAGATATATTGGAACTTAAGGGTTCATTTAGTCCATTGCAACAAGAATATATTGAAGAAAAAAACTCCAGATATTTGGTTACAGTCATATTTTCCCATGGATATGTTTTGGAAAATGGTGGAAAACTTCAATAATTTAATATCTTTATCTTTAAGTAATTGATGTGTTTTGATTACCTATAATGTCTAAGATATTACACTAGATTCCATGGGAATGGGAGCAGCACTGTCACCTACTTTGAAGGGATAGGTTTTCAGTGCTCCCAGATAGACTACTCTGCTGGAGAGTAAGGAATAAGGGTAAAAGTAGGGATGGAGAAAAGAAGAGGTAGGAGGGAGGTATCCTGGGGACACTTTTCCAAGTGAAAGGAATGCAATTATCAAAACTGTTAGGTTCTAGATTGAATAAATGCCTAATAAAATTCATCTGCACAAATCCCCTTAAGGCATCTCAAATACTTCTTCACCCATTCATTCTTTTCACATTCATTGTACCAGATCAAAGATATAGAAGCCACCTGAAGTTTTCCAAGCTGAGTGCTGGAAAAATTGGAGCAACTCTCACAAAACAACATTGCAAGGGGGAGCAAGTCACTACCTGTAGGAACCAAAGAACCCAACAGACATCCTTGTCAAACAGCTCTCATTAAACATTACAAGCACCAAACCCAGGAATGTGGTATTTTAGTACAGGAAAAGTAGGAGATGAGAGGGTGATAACAGAGTCAAAGCCATTAATGCTTGTAATCAATGTATTCCTGCCCTGACAGGATGGCCTGGTAAACTGAGGCCCAACTCTATTATCACATTTCATTATTCTTACTAAGTCAGTGCTTCTCACCACTCCAAGAAGTTTTCACAATTTACAGAGAGCATATTTTAATCGAGGAGAATGTGTGGCTTTAATCATTTTGTTTCATAAAGACAGGGACTAGCTCAAATATGGTTCTTCCATATAACAATAACCTAAGTATATATATCCTAGTAAAACCTCATTCCAGAAGGTAATATGCTAATTACAACTAAACAGGAAAAAGAGGTATTATTTCTATTATTGCTAGTTGACGTTTATACAAATGTTTAGATTTTTGATTTACAGATTTAAGTACATTATAGATAATTAAAATAATCTCCCATTTTTTCATAACTATGAAAACAATCTTTTTTCAGTGGGTTCAACTTTCTCTAGTCTTTTACTATATATGTGGTGCCCTGCCAAAACCTCTGTGTGGGGTGATGATCACAAGACATCAGTACTACTGTGGGTCTAAAAAGGGCATTCACCAAGACTTCAGTTTACCTCCATGGATGGGCATAATGAGATAATACTTCCTTCTTCCTTGAAGTGGGATGCGGCCAGCCATATGACTTGTCCTGGCCAAGGAGATATGAATGGATACTTTTTTTTTTGTCTAGAAGTATTTAAGAGCTCCTATAGGATTTGCCAAAGTCCTTTGTGCCTAGCTCATGGCTGTTGGCAACATTCCAGATGGTAAAGTCAATCAGCATGGGAGCCTGATTGAGGATAATACAGCAGAGTGCCTTGATAGTCTTATTAAGCTCTCAGCACAAAGCAAGAAACAAACCTTTGCCATTTTAGTCAGTGAAATTTTGGGGCTATTTGTTATTACCGCATATAATGACATTATGACCAATTTCTAGATGAGAAAACAGACTGAAAGCAACAATTTATCTCCTTCTTTGCATTTGCTTGTTATTTCTCAAGTGCTGGTGCAGTGGCCCCACCTTGTTCTCCTCTGGTGAACTCCAGGAAACCTGAATGTTGTGCCTCACAACACCAAATGACACTACGGGAACTGCCCTCTCCTTAATACTCTGGGAGTTGTATCAAAAGGAATAAAAGTCCCTCAGCTCCAGCCAACTGAGCTTTTGATGCCAAAGTCAAGTATTCAGCAATAATTTTGTTAACATAGAGTCCAGTGGAGGCTTCTTCTGGTAAAACTTTTGAGATTTTTCTCTTCACTGTACAGAAACACCTTTGCAATTTTAGCTGCGGAAAAAAAAAGAAATGGTCTCAAACAACATACTTCTGCTTTTTATATTGTTTCAGGTAACTGAAACCACAGTAATCCCTCCAACAACCTATTGATAAATTCAATAACTGACTGATCCTATAGTATAGAAAAGTCCAAAAGCCTGTGTCTTGCCTAAGTTTCTAGAGATCAGTATCATTATGAGTCTGGATTTCTTCTATAATTAAAGACTTTCAGCCTGAAAGGCAAAGGAAAAATAATAATATTGGGTAAGACAAATTTTTTTTTTTAAATTTCATCTGATAACTTAAGAACTGCTTCTTTAGCCCAGCAGGGACCCCAGCAGTATTATCACGATGATGAAGCAAAAAATCCACATAAGTACTTGCTTTAGTCACATAAATTGGTGAAAATGTCTATATTCAAAAAATATTTAACACTTAAACATTAATGTTATTAAAAATGTTTTATAAAAACTAGCAACGTCATCATTATTGCCACCCAAATGCAGTCCTTCAGGCTCATTGCCACTGATGAGATTCAGGGATGAAAGCATTAGTCAGCCTGGAGACAGACTGGCATGAGAACTTGAGCCCTTGCTGGAAAAACCCTATGCAATATGGT